ACTGCCGACGAGGATCAATGACTGCCCCCCCCCGACACCTCCCCCGACCCGTGTATTTCACGTGCGTTGATAGGAATGTGGATTCTTCCTGTGTTCCGTAGTTATAATTGTGGTCGATTAGGGCACAAGGCCTCGACTTGTCAGTTGGTGTTGAGATGTCGGCGTTGTGGTAAGCCGGGGCACAAGGAGCGAGAGTGTGAGGAAGAGACGATGGGGTACACGAGGTCGAAGAGCACGTGCGATGTACGGCCTTCGTTGAAGACTGCGTTGTCCCGGAAGTCTTCGACTTCCGTAAGTGAGGCGGCGGCGGGGAAGGCCCGACGAAGGACCGTGGAAGCGGGTGTACGGTGGGCTGAAGAGTTTGTGGGCCAACCATCTGCGGATGGGGGGTTACTGAGTGGTCCGTTATCGCTGCTACAGGACTTCAGTGACAAGTGGGAGGAGGATGACCCTTGTGGCTGGCCGGTGGAGTGCAAGTCGCCAACGGATTTCCGGTCGGCGACTGAGTTCCGATCGTCGGCGAACGAGTTCAGACCTCTGGCTGACTACGACGCGGAGTTGGGTGGTTGTGAGTACAAGGCTAGTAGTGAGTACAAGGCTAGTAATGAGTATAAGACGAGTAGTGAGTATAAGACGGGTAGTGAGTACAAGTCGGCGAGTGAATGCCGGACTACCCTGAGTGAGGGCAAGTCGGGGAGCGAGTGTAAGGCGACGAGTGAGTGTGCGTACAAAGGGGCGTATTCATCGAGTCATCTGTCTAGTTCGCACACGCAGGCGTCGAGTACGCACACGCGAGCGAGCAGTGTGCACACGCGTTGCAGTAGCACACACACAGGAGTCTCGGATCCGCACACTCTCCTTAGCGAGATGTTGGCATCAGACGCGGAAGGGCTAACCTCGGACGCAGAGGGTCGCGTGTCCGACGCAGAGGCAGCGGCCCTGGCTTCCGACAGCTACCCATTGTCCGCCGGCACATTGGGCAGAGCGAGCCGCATTTCCACGGGGCGCATGTCGGCTGGCGTCCGTTCGTCTGGCACTCGCTCCTCCCCAGTCATGCGTGCGTCGTCGGCCATCATGTATGGGGCCACTGCAAGTACGCCCGGACGACTCTCGCCTCACAACTTCAGCAGTGGATCCATGATCGGGGGCGCGTTAAACAGTGGGGTCGAGTCAATAGGAATGGTTGGTTCTCTAGGTATGGATTTAACGGACGGTGAGTTCGAACCGTTCCACACATTCAATGGATCGTCAGGCGCTTACTACTCTCTCGAGAGGAGCAGCTATATTCCCGACGGAGGTCGCGGCCGCTTCGTTCGCGACGAGGACCGAATCGGCAGCTATTATGGATACGTGCCGGAGAGAAAACAATCTCATGCCAGCGGAACTCTTGTAATAGCCAAAGGGGTGAATCGAGACGAGTGCATGAATAATTCCGTTGTCGCGGACGAGCCTGCTGCAGAACGAAATGAGTCGTACAAGTACTACCAAGCCACTCTCTGCGTCCAGGGGATCGCCATGTGGATAGCGAATCCCGTGCTACTGCAGCAAGATCGGGCCGCCTTTTTCGACAATTAGTGTGCCCAATTTGCAGCAAGATCGGACCCAATCGGCGGCGCACACACGTGTGCGAACGTATGTGGACGCGCAAAACACGCGAAATCATTTCATTTAATTAGAGGCGACAGCCTTGTTGCTCGAGAGCGGTGACCATTCCCTTCCACAGAGTATGTATAGAACACCTGCCTCTGCAGCTATGATCCCGAATAGCTTTTCCTAGGTTTTGGTTCACCGGAAGATTCCAGGAATCACAAATTTGTTTGAAATGGTTGGTCGTCAGCCATCCGTCCGCGAAACACAGACATAATTCTTTAAGTAGATTTATATCGCGTTCAAGTGGGATTTGGGGAAAGGGTGTTTCGCGGGTGAGTACATTGTGGATCCAGTTAAGGCAGTCGTCGCTGGGAACGCGGGCATGTGGCGACGGTTTCCACTTGTCCTGCCGGCCGCCGTCGAGCGGTCGCTGAGTGATGGGAGAGACGTAAGGCTCTTTTGGGTTGTTGGCGGCGTTATCGACGCACTTGGTATGGAATTTGGTGCCAGGTCCCTGAACGACGGCCCCTAGAGCTGGGCGCGAATATTGAGGTCGTGCTTTGCGGGTGGGTTCATCGTGGGAGTCTTTTAGTGCGGCCACGAGCACGTCTTGTAATCGCAGGTCCTGGGCCGCTCGCTGACCGTTTTGGGGATGGTACGTTTCCAGCACCGTTTCGAGGCGTTCGGCATGTTTTGCTCCAGTAACTTCAAGCGTTCCGGCAATGAGGTCGTTTTGGGTTATGCGTCCGCTCATGTACATGTCATATAGCGCCGAGATAACGCCAATGGTAGCCGGGGTTAGGTACTCAGGTCGTTTAATGGTGTCGATTACGACTTGCCGGGGGTCGTAGACATACATTCTTTCCCTGGCCTGTTGTTCGAGCCGTAATTTTTTACGTTCACGATCGAAGCGTAGCTGCTGCTCGTCCACGACCCGCTTCGCCTCGGCCTCAAGGCGTTTGGCAGTGCGTTCCGGTGCAATGAAGTCCGCCTCCATGTCTCCTGCCATCTCAACAAGTTTTGCAAAGCTCACGAAACTGTCTTCGCACCAGATCAAGTTATCGCAAATAGCGTTCATTAATTCCGATCGTGCGGGAATCCCCAACTTCCGCAAAGTCGTGGCCAACTTTTCAGCTGGAACTTGACGGTATGCGGCCGCATGGTAAGGCACCCCGAGATCTTTGAAAATGTGAGCCAACATCAGACGGAAATCGCGCATACCCAAATCGGTATAATACTTACCCACTTCATGCTCCAATGCCACACCCAACAACCTACTGACATATCCAGTTTCCCTGTCCGCGCGCAAGTCGTGCAAGGGCAACCCTGCACTTAGCCATTCTGTGTTCAACCTACGTTCGCGGTCTAAAGGGTCCGTGGCCACCACGTTGTACGTACCGACGTAGTCCTCATAAGCCTCCTCCTCAGCCATCATGTCCCCCTCAGATGGGCGCGCCTCTCCCGACCCCTTCTCAGCGTTATCCCGCTCCTCACCAGCCGTCTCTCGCCGAGGTCCTTCACTCGGTCGCCCACCACTTGGTCGCCCACCACTTGGTCGCCCACCACCGCCTTGACTCGGACGACCACCCTCACTCGGTCTTGCGTCACTAGGACGCCCGTCGCTTCCTCGACCGCCACCTGGTTCACTAGGCCGACTCCCACTCGGGCGATGACCACCATCGCTCGGTCGGGCACCCGTAGGAGCCGGCGGCCGAGGCGGACCACCAAGGGTCTTCTTCTTCGGACCCACGAACACTCCAAACTTGCTCGCCTGGACCTTCTTCAAACCCTTCGGCTCCTTCGGCTTCTGCAACACGTCCTTGGAGGCCGCAGGAGGAGGGGCTTTCGGTCTGGGCTCATCCCCAGCCTTTTTCACCGGAACTTTCTTTTCCATGAGGTGCAGGTGCGAGTGTGATCGAAACTACCTGCCTCGGAAACATCAGCAACAGAACCATTGGTACGGAAATAGCAGACCGCGGAAACATCAGCGATAGATGTGCCATGAACACATCAGCTGCAATCAGCATAACTGCAACCAGTTCACATCAAACCCATAAGGGGATATGGCCGGTGGTAGGATTTGGTCAAGGGTGTGTCACAGAGTGTAACTCCAGAGTACGCGGAAAGGTCAACACCCAGAGACGCGGCGGTGCAGTGGAGGGGAGCGGCCCGGTTGAGGGTGGAGGGGGGCGGCCCGGTTGAGGGCAGAGGCCCAGTTGAGCGCGAGAGGCAAGTGCAGGGTGGGTCTTAGCGTGTATTGGATGCCGGCGTGATCTGCAATTTAAATTTGGAAATGGCATTAAAGCGGATCCAGGCGGAGAGAGTGAAGCGAGTTCAGAAGCCATCCAGTCGGCATCGGAAGATCACCGGGCAGCTTAAGCCCCATCGGGAACTTTCACCGCTACCCCACTACGGCCCCCCCTTGCAGCCGCCGTCTCCGCCGCCCATAGGGGGGGTGCATTACGCTCCGTACCAGGCCGGTCCCCATTATGGCGCTCCCACCCAGTATGGTCAGTACGGGGCGGGGGCTCCCAACCAGTACGGGGCTGGGGCTCCCAACCAGTACGGGGCTGGGGCTCCCAACCAGTACGGGGCTGGGGCTCCCAACCAGTATGGTGCTGGGGTTCCCAACCAGTATGGTGCTGGGGTTCCCAACCAGTACGGGGCCAACCAATATGGGGCTGGGGTTCCCAACCTATATGGGGCCAACCAATATGGGGCTGGGGTTCCCAACCAGTACGGGGCTGGGGCTCCCAATCAATATGTGGGTCCCAATCAGTACGGGGATGTGGTTGGTGGGATGGCACAGACGGGGGGGTTGGCACATACTAGGGAGATGACGCATAATGGGGCGATGGCCAATTCCCAAGGCAATGTGTCTGGAGGCGGCGCGACAGTTGCGCATGAGGGGATCGACACGAAGATCGTGCTGTTGAACAAGATCGACGAGTTGGAGCGGAAACAGCAAGAGGCGGAGGAGCGTGCGGCTGAGGCAGAGTATCAGTTGCGTCAAGCAGAGTTGAAACGGCAATGGGAAGCCATCCACGGTCCAGATGAGGATGTCGGGTCGGCTGCCTTCACGGGCACCTTTACGGGTGGCACCTTCACCGGTGGCAGCTTCGCGGGCGGTAGCTTCACGGGTGGTACCTTTACGGGTGCCGGCATGTCCACGACCGGCGCGGGGTTGTCTGGACGTTTGTCTGGTCTCAATGACGAGGACGAAGTGCGAATGGTAAGACGAGGTGCAGCTTCGGCGGTCTTACGACCGGCACCGAATCCGGTTCCCGGGTTCCCGGCAGCGCGGCGCAACTCTATCGCGGCCCCCCCGACGATGATCAAAGTGCCCATTGACACGGGCGTCTCGCAGGCCTTCAGCTACCTCAAAACTCAGCAGGTCCCGGCAATGGCTTTCAGTGAAACCAGCAGCTCCAGCTGCTCATCCTGCGAGGACGCAGACAGCAGCGAACAACCCGCCGGCGAACAAAGACCCGATCTGAGCGAACTTCAGGTTCCCAATCAAATTGCAGGCATAAGCAATAGTGCATTGACCCAACACTACACGAATGACCAAGACTTGGCAGAAACGGACTTACCGTCAAGCCGCGTTGCCATGGTTAAACGCACCGATGATCTGCCGCCGCCGCCGTCTGCGTTCGACCATCCTTCAGAGTCAGAACGGCAGTATCAGCAGATGCATAGCCAGCAAGCACCCGACCAGCAAATACCCGGCCAGCAAGCACCCGGCCAGCAAACACCCGGCCAGCAAACACATAGTCAACATCAATATGAGCTGGCGGCTCTGGAGGCTAAAGAGAGGGAAGAGATCGAGGAGCGACGCTCGCACATTCGTGCTCTGGACGCGGAGCGACAACTCTTGGCTGAACAACAGCGACAACGCGAGATGGCCTTGGAACACCAGCGGGCGAACTACTTCAAGTTGATTGCCGAACAGGAACGCGTTGCTCGTGAATACCAGAACGCGTTGGCGCACAGACAAAAGGAAGAACTAAACCAAAGGCAGATGGAGTTGGAGCGTCTGCGTCAAGAACAGGAACACAGACTTAAAGAGAACCAGCGCCTCGTCCAAGAAAGGAATGCCGTGGAACAGAAACGGTACAAGGAGGCGACTCGGCAAATAAAACATATCGTTAGCCACTGCCGGCCTCTGCAGTCCTCGCCGCTAAGTCACCTCATTTCCTCTAGACCTCTGGACTCGCGAGTTCTCTCGGCCGGGGTCGCCTGTCGCCATCGGAGCATTATGGAGCCACCGAGAACGTCGCGGATGGGGACTGTGAGGTTGGAGCCTGTGAGGGTGGAGCCTGTGAGGGTGGAGCATGGGAGGGTGGAGCCTAGGAGGGTGGAGCCCGGGAGGGTAGAGATGCCTGTGCAGCAACTGGGTTCTCCTGTAACCTTCAGGGGAGAACCAGGCAAGGCGACGGCCATGGCTGCCCAATATCCCTACCTACCAAACATCGTTGTTAGTCACCCGCCCCAGGGCCCAATGGTTGTCGCAAGTCCCGGTAGACTGGCGCCAAACCCATTGCCTTCACTTTCTCAGTCACAGCGGCCCATTATGGGTCCTGCCCAGACGCCAAGACTGTCGCCGAGGCTCTCAGGAAGAGTAGAAACGCACCAGAGGGGAACAAGTGAGAGCACTTCGCGGCGTGTTAGCGAAATTGCGCGAGGTATCTCGGGGTTTCGAGAAGCCCAGAAGGCGTACTCGACTGTCTCTCCGAAACCTCTTAAAGAACGTCGACTCGTACACGAACCTAACCTGTCCCGACGGGCTGGAGTTACTTCCAAGCCAGCGACCATTGTGCGAGGAACGCCACGAAAGATCCAGGCCAGGCGAGAAATACTCTCCAACAACTTGGCACCCACCGGGAACCCCCAAGCTTATACTTTACAAGTGACTCCTCCTCATAGCGCAAAACACTTCGTGCACGCCGCTTCAGAACAACGAATGGCTCCGAACAACCATTATACGGTGTTACACCGTCAACGCGGCTCCCATCATATGGAAGACACTACTCACCACCCACAACTGAATCATGCACAACTGAATCATGCACAACTGAATCATGCACAACTGAGTCATGCACAACTCAATCATGAACAACTCAATCATGAACAGCTGTCTCAGCAGCAGCAACACAGTCAGCAGCTTATACCGCCACGACTCAGCCGTGAACTAACCCCTCTCTCCGAGCCCATGTCCCCGACTCGTACTCGGCTTGAGCAGCTCGACCTGGAGTACGATCCGGAACAACTGGCCCACACCTCCCAATACGACGGGGCCGCCGAAGACACATCGTTTACCATTGAACGCGTCGTCGCCTCCTCCAGAAGAAAACGTGTTTGCGGATGCTAGGTCCTGGAGAGTGGTCGTACTCGATTTTTTGACACTTGACTTTTATTACAATGCTCAACTCACAATGGCAAGAGGTTATAACGCACTACTGCCGGACACAGTAAGCCACCGTCAACGATTGATTGGGAGTACTTATACGACCGGTAACATTCAGGCGGCGTCGCTTAGCGGGATGAACTTTTTGTGGTTTCTTCAGTCCTGTGGAAACCATAACGAAGCGTCAGCTTTATGAGTGTCTATGTGACGCGCAATTGACTACTTTAGATGAAATCAAGAAGGATCGGCAACTGAAGGAATCGGTTGTCGGATTTGGTCTAAAGTTGATCGAGACGATAGCTGGGGAGAATGAAAGACGAAATGAGAGCCAGAACCCAAGCGACGACCGTAAAGGAAGCCGGCCGCCGAGCAGGCAGGAAAGCCGAGAAGAGAGAAGGCCTCGGACGTCTGGCAATGAAAGCGAGGTAGAGACCGAGCCAAGGAAGCTCACCAGAAAGCGGCCTGTCCCGTCGAGCACTCGATCGTCGCCTTCGGTCTCGGAGAAGAAGAAAATGGCTAAGCAGACTTTGAAAAAATCAACTCAACGCTTAGGCACTATTATACAGCAGTACAAAATTCGGAGTGTTTACCGCAAAGTCTCCAAAAGCAGTCCTACATACCAAGATGACCTGTACCAGGCGGTTCTTGATCTATTGGTAGAAAAGGGCTACATAAAAAAACGGTCCCTGCCTACTCTTGCGGAAGCGCAACGGTGGCGTCAGAAACACGACATGCAAGAGGAGCTAGACGGTCTAAAATTAGACATCGAACGCCTCGGCGCTCGGCTGGGTCCCGATGGACTCAACGCCAGACGCAGAGTCGCTGCCAACCGCACCAAACTTTTGCTAGCCAACGAGCGCCGCAGCAGTAGCAGTGAAAGCAGTAACTCATCGGGGTTTGATGAGCCAGACGCAGATAAGGAATCCGACGCACAGATAGAGTCAGATGACGAAATGTCGGATGATGACGAAGACGAACCTTCCTCTCAATCTGATTAGTTAGTTTAGCGGGCTCGAGACCGGGTGGCGAAAGGGATTTCGACAAGGGTGTGTGTGGTAAGGGATTCGAGAGGACCGGGAGGGCCGGGAGGGCCGGGAGGACCGGGAGGACCGGGAGGACCGGGAGGACCGGGAGGACCGGGAGGACCGGGAGGACTGGGAGAGGAGAGAGGGAAGTGGCGGCTGAGTCCGGCCGGAATTTGATATTTGTTACATGAATGTCATAATTGACGAATTGGAAAGGAAAAAGTCGCCCGGTGAGGTCCTAGATGTGCTCATACCAGACGAGGCCACACTGCTAGGTTTGGATTTGGATGGCATACTTCAAGATTTGGAAGTGTACATGACGAACAAGCAGAAACAGTTACACGAGAGTGTTCGTCAACTAACATCGGCGCCTCCCATTCGGTGGCCCATAAGCGAGTTGCAAGCTATTCGGGGGACACTGCAAGAGTATCTCACGCCGTTTGAGGAGCGCGAAACGGGGAGCCAAGACGATGGTCGGCTTGAGAAGCCGGCTGAATGTAGTGGTGAGGGGGAAGGTTACCTGGTGTCGGATACAAGTTTGGAAACCGGTGAGGTCCGTGGCAGGATGAGTGCCAAGGAGTTGTTGAGTCAGCTGAAGGAACTGGATGAGAAGAAGGCGCGCATTATGGCGTCAATTTCGTTGCTCGAGAAGATCCAATCATTAAATGATTCTTTGGACACGCTGCGTGAAGCCATGAAAGACAAGGATTATGCCAAAATCAATGTTCTGGTGGATACCATAAACGCATTGGCGGAGGTATTGGGTAATCAAGACGAGCTGAGAGACATTATTTATCGCAAAGAGTTAATTTTTGAGGATCTCAAAGTATGCATAAAAGAAGAACTGGTGACACTGATGGAAGCGAGGGTGCAGAACGGCTGTCATAATGGAGAGCAAGACATAAGTGAGGCATCTGCCTCACTCGGACCGGTAGTTAACCCTTTAGCTGCAGTGTCTGTGTCCGGTCCGTTTGCAAACCGGCCCGAATCGGTGGCGAGAAGGGGTTCAGGTAGTTTGACATTATCTAATGGGATTGGGGGCTTGCTCAATTCAGCCCGTAAAGGGACTCTTGCTGGCCTCAACGCGGCCGGTCTAGGTCCCCGCCCGAGCCTGGATGTGTTGCCCAACTCGGCCGGCGCGCGAAGCAGCTCAGGGGACCTCGACGGAGCTCAAGTCTCAGGTGCTGTAGCGCCGAGCGGTAATCCTCAGGTAGTGGAAGCAGAGGCCCTGTCCAGTCGTCTGGAATCTGTCCAACTGATGTGTAAGCTCTGCAGGGGCGTTCATAGTGAGCCATATACCAGAGAGGAAAACCGGATATACGACCTTATATATCAGATCCTCCTGAAACTTGACAGCCATCTCTACGACAAGATAATCGCGGATAGAATCAACACCATTTTAGCAGAGTACGAAGTACAGTTTGACTATAAATATAATTACAAAACCAAACAGGATCGAATTAACGAGGCCTTAACTCAAATCAAAGTGTTCTACAAACGATTAGCGTGGATTAACCACACGCTTGCCGCTTATAAAGCGTTACTCCTGCCCGCGAATCTCAGGTCCACTACCATTTGTGCGAAAAAACCCGTTGTAAATGAGGACGGTATTGGTAGCGGCGTTCTGAATCTTTTCCTTATTAAGTTCATTTCCGTGACCAAACAGCACCTCATCAACATTCTGGATCTGGCCTACACCCAGATTGACCATGTCCAATTGTACAAGTTAGTTGTGGACGTGAAGCAGTTACAGACTTTGTTGGATCATATCTATGATTTTCATGGTACATATAAATATGACTCTGCTACTGGTCAGGCGGCATTTTCTGAAAGATCCTGTTCCGTCAAATTGCCCTCGTTAATGAACATATTCGATGCGTTCACCACGCCTTGGTTACAAAATTATGATAAGTCTTTCAGTGGTGTGATACGGTCAGCAATGAATTCCAAAGATGAAGTAGAATTCTTTAATGACGGAACATGTTCCCTGTATGAAGGTGTTGGACTGGCGCTGGCACATGTGCCTCGACGGGTTTTCAAGTCTGCTTTATCACTGAGTGACTCGATCGTAAAGATGACGCAGGATGCTGTTAGAGCAGGAGTAGCACAAATGGAACAAGACACAGAGATAACTGTGACCAAGTATCTCAATAACTATTTGGACATTGGCTGGATCACCTTATCCCGTTGGAGGAAATTCATATTAGATGAAAACCACCCAATGCGTCAGTCAGCAGGACGATTGTTGGACTGGAATTGTACCGAGATGATTGAAGCACGCACTAGAACCATAACTCAAAATTATGGAAATAAATTGAATATTCCGTACCCTTGCTGTGTAGAGCAGTTCACAGATTTGCTCACGTTGATCAGCTCCTTAGAGTTGCTGCGACTCAACAGCAAACGTATTATTGCAGCAGGTGGAGATGGTCCTTCATGTACTGTTCCCTCAACTACTGTTCCCTCAACTATTGTTCCCTCAACTACTGGACCCTCAACTACTGTTCCCTCAACTACTGGACCCTCAACTATTGTTCCCTCAACTACGACGTCATGGATTTTGCGAATGGTTGAAGTCCTAATGTATGACATATGGGAGCTTCAATATGCCGCAACCATGACCTTGTTCCGGCACTTGGTATATTCCACGTTTGCTCCTATGCTCCCGGAGTGTTACTATGCTGCAGGTAATTTCAACGAGTTTCTCTCTCACTGGCAGCACTGGGTGGAATTAGTCGGTCGACATGTTAGCCCAGCATTGAACGTAGTGATAAAGGACACAACGGTGCTGCTTTACTGCCGATATATTGACGTGTTGGTTGAACAACACAAAGGGGGGCAAGGTACAAGTGAGACGCGGCCCGCCATGCAGCTAGGTGACAAGATCCTGTTGGACGCTACGGCCATTCTGGAATGGATCACAGCTGATTCCTCTTGCATAGTGGGCGCCCAGGAAATAGGGAACACATTAGCCATTGGGAAACAACTTCTCGCTTTTTGATGTTGAAAATGTTATTGTGGTGGATCGGGTTTCTTGCTCCGTTGAAACTCCTCCTGAAGTTGGTGCTTGGCCTACTATGCCGCTTGCGGAGCCACCCAGTCAAACTATGGACAGGCACTCTTTCTAGAGCACTCAACAACAAGGAATCGTACATAGTGGTAACCGGTTGCACAGATGGAATCGGCCTAGCGACACTTCGCAAGATTGTCGAGCACTACCCACAGAATCCCGTCCTACTTGTGGGAAGGAACAAGGACAAACTGTCTAAGGTTACTGAGTCCTTGGGTACCACTTATGAGAATCTGCCGAGCAAAAGTGAGGACAGGAAGAGCGGCACGCGGAGAATTGAAGTGGCCGTGGTGGACTTTGCTACTGAGAACTGGCCTGCGGAAATGGAGAGGACTCTAAAGGGAAAGTCTGTTGGTCTTTTGCTTAATGCAGCAGGAGAGACTGACGTGATTAACCGGAGATACGACGAAGTGGACGAAAGTCTGATTATAAGGTTGATCCAAGTCAATCTTAGGTCTGCCATGTTAATGAGCCGCTTATGTCTGCCATCCATGACCGTGCAGAAAGCAGGAGTCATTGTTAACATTGGCAGCATGAACCTGGTAGCTGAAGAGCCGTTCCAGGCCATATACACTGCTACGAAGGGTGGTATACGAGCCTTCAGTGAAGCTCTCCAGAGCGAGGTTCGATCCAAGAACATCTTGGTGCAGAACTGGGAACCCGGACTGGTTAACACAAAAATGACCTTGGGCCGTTATAAAGGTCTTGACCGGTTTTCCTGTAGCGCTGATGAATTCGCGGAGTATGCTTTCTGTATGCTCCAAAATGGAACACATGAACTACTCATACCCTTCGGTTATCAACCCGTCACCTTTTCACCATACCCCCTTCATGAAGTCACTTGCGGGCTGGCAAAATTTGTACCAACTCACTTCCTTAATCAGTACGCGATTCACACACGCGATTCACACACAGTCGAATTCATACACTGTCAAACATCAAGGCCAAACCATGGCCCGCATAGCTAGCATCACAACGTGTTCTTTTAGGTCAAGGTACTCTTATAGAATGGAAGCAAGAGGCAACAAATGAGAATCTCTTTTTCCTTTTTTAAATTCTTCGATGGCCAAAGACGATCACTATGATTATCTCTACAAGAGTAAGCCGGGCAGGTCACCCCACCTTGATCGACTGGTTGCTGTTGTCAGCTGGCCCTTGTTCTTGTCACCTCGCCCTTGATCTTGTCGCCTGCACCTGTGGCGTTCATGCACTAGCCGCCTCGGGTGCCCGAACTGGTGGGGTACTGCATTGCTGGCATTTGATGAATGGCCATGCCGCAACACTGATCCGTCGGGGGAACTGTCCGTCGGGGGAACTGTCCGTCGGGGGAACTGTCCGTCGGGGGAACTGTCCGTCGGGGGAACTGTCCGTCGGGGGAACTGTCCATCAAGGCAGCCGGACCATTAGGCAGGAGTCCGTCAGGACCAACAGTTTACTCGGCAGGCTGAACAGGTTGAATACCGAACAGGTTGAATACCCGGCAACAATGTGGTGATATATGGTTGTGTTTTGTAGTCGTTCTGATTGGTGACTCAGGAGTGGGTAAGTCCAATTTACTGTCAAGGTTTACCCGAGATGAATTCAACTTGGAGAGTAAGTCAACAATAGGAGTGGAATTTGCTACCAAGTCGGTTGTAACTGAGGGTAAGGTCATCAAGGCTCAGATTTGGGATACAGCGGGACAGGAGCGGTATAGAGCGATTACATCTGTGTATTACCGGGGTGCTCTTGGTGCTTTACTGGTGTATGATTTGTCGAAGAAAAATTCATATGTTAACGTGAGTCGTTGGCTTAAAGAACTAAGAGACCATGCGGACCAGAATGTGGTTATATTATTGGTAGGGAATAAAGCAGATCTTCAACATCTTCGAGCGGTATCCCAAGATGAGGCACAATCCTTCTGCGAAACAGAGCAAATCGCCTTTATAGAAACTTCTGCCCTTGATGGGAGTAACGTAGATAATGCGTTCCACGAAGTTCTTAACAGGATATATAAAAGCAGGAAGAGAATTGAGGCTATGGGCAATAACGGACAACATAGATTCAATGCTACCAAAGCTGAACCCCTTAAAGTAAACACTTCATGTACTTTGGTACCAAGCACATGATTATGCCACACACCCATTATTGAGGCGAACCACCATGAGCGGACTACCTTACAGATCCAGCAAGACGCTGATAACGGTCATAAGACTAAAGGTTGCTGTTGAGTCCTTTTTTAAATAAAGAGCCCCGCCATAAATGTCTTGGGCTTCACAGACCTTTAAATCCTGTTTCCGTTCCTTTGATAAAGGTCTTCCAAGCGACTTAACTAACGCATCTGGTGTTGGCAGCCGGGAATCAACAAGGTATGTTTTAAGGGCATGTATGCTGTGCCATGGAGTTGAGAAGCCATAAAGCTGGGGAGAGTAAAATAGACGGCGTCTTTACGTGTGGGGCACAAATACATCTATAAACCACCCGTTTTAGGCTAAGTATTGGCAGTGGATACTTTGCGCCCTATCAGTACATCCAGCCTGTGTTATGGAACCGCAAATATGGTGACAAGGGCAGGAGAATCCCTTATGGTAATGGACCGCCTAAGGAGCTTAAGTCTGCTGTCATGGTAAACTCAGAATTGAATAATGTCATTCCTGCGTCAGTTTCAGAATGGACCGAGGACAAGTCGAGCAATCTGAGTTGTCCCGAGGACTTGTTACAAGGCTTCCAAATCTTGCTAAAGAGACCTCAATTTTTGGATCTTCTTTTGCACGCGTTAGATGATGAGGACATGACTCTTGATATGACGTTAAGATTTTATTTGGAAGAGTTAGGCTACGATTCCTTGATGAGCGGTTATGAAAGTGGGTATAACAATACGCTTCGTTCTGGTAATTATAAATTCAACTCCGTGGTGGTTGAATCCGCGCTAGACGACGGAGAGGATAATACCAATGCCTCACTGATAGCAGCAATAGAGTGTGGTAATAATTCGTTGCTAGATGTCCGAGTGATTTGGCAATTACTGGGTAATTATTGTTCAATAGATATGTCGTGTTGTAACTTCATAAACCAGGAAACTATTACGGGAATAATAAGTCTACATCTCGCAAGACACATCGCTTCATACCATACGGAGGAGATGTACGAGAAAGATGAGATTAGGAAGAATGTAGGTTGGACAGCACCACGTATTCTGATAATAACACCGACTAGGATGCATGCTAAGAATTGGGTCCAAAAATTGAGAGTAATTTGTGGTCATGAGGAAGCCAAGGAAAGTAGACGAAAGAGATCAAGTCGAAGGAACCACGGCGATAGAAAGCGTTCTAGAGGTGAGGATATCAGTGCGAAAAAGGATTCGGAAGTTGACTTGGATGATTTTGGTTATAGCGACTTTATAGGAGATTATACGGCTTTGATGGATGAAGGTGGAATTGACATTAGGAGTGAGATGGGTTTGAATATGTTAGGATTAAAGAGACGTAAGCCTTTGGATTTTATTGATAGTTTTAGAGGTGATAATGATGACAATTTCTTGACCGGGGTGCAGATTAATCCGGAGTATACCCGTTATATGATTGGCCCAGAACGATCTAATATAGTGATTGGTAGTCCATTAGCTATACGAGTGTTAATAGGGGGTGAGAAGGAGAAACGGATGTGTGATTGGTTAAGCTCAGTGGAGGTGGTGGTTGTGGATCGTGCAGATCAAATAGGGGAAGCAAATCTAGACCATTTAAGACGAGTGTTACAGGTACTAAATGACAAGCCTCAAGAGCGAATTAGCAAGGTGAATATTACAAGACTTAGAGAATCTCATTATATAGACGATCAAATGGACCTTAGTGTCTTTTACAGGCAAACTATAATGCTCTCGTCCAGAAAGGACTTACTCCTACAGTCCTTCTTCAGAACATTCGACTCCAACTTCAGAGGGGCGTGCAGGCTCTGGCGATCCCACAATTCCTCAGTCGCTCAATTCGCCCAAGCCAAATTCAACAACAACGTTTTATGCATCGGCACAGGCGACATAGGAACCGAAGGAGATATAGGAACCGAAGGAGATATAGGGACCGCAGGCGTAGCAAATGACGATCCCTTGGCAGCTTTATTCAAAAAGCATTTTATTGACTCGTTCCACAGCCGACTAGTTGAGGATCAGATCATGGTTGTCGTCCCCTCATGGCTGGAATATCTTGAAGTCAGTAACTTGTTCAAGAAGGGCCTCACTACAGATAACTTCAAAGGAATACATGAGCACAGCAAACCTTCCGAGATAAAACAAGTGCGGCAGAGTCTGGCAGCTGGGGAGTGCCCCATTGTCCTTATCACGGAACGCTTCCTATACCATCGAAGATTCCACTTCACTGGAGCCATGCATCTAATTTATTACGGAGCACCTCTTTATCCTCCAATATTTTGCGAACTTGTCCAAGATTGTGTACAAGCCCCTAGGAAAATCGGCAGTGAAGAAATCTGTCCGACCAACTCACATCTATGCATCATTTACTGGAAGGTGGAACTGCACGCCGATGCGATGGAACGCCTATTAGGACCTCAAGCTGTCATGCAAGCAGCACTAGCTTCCAAAAACGGGAAACTAGTTTCTATCGACCATGTAGTAAAGGGATAACCAGTCCTGCCGGCACCCAGTCCTGCCGGCACCCAGTCCTGCCGGTACCCAGTCCTGCCGGTACCCAGTCCTGCCGGTACGGAACACCACTTCGTGCCGAACGGCGGAAACCTCTGCGGGTACAGCGCCCCAGCCGGACGTTACCCACGCCTGATACCCACGTCTGAAACAGTACAACTTCGATACTGTTAAGAGTAACGCCACGCGACGGGAGACCCCCTACGCACTGCGTGAACGACGTCATATTACGAGGACTACGTCCAGACCCGTTG